TCAGCAATGATCAAGAGAAATGGGAGGCACCTGAGCTTAATTTCAAGTGTAAAGTGCAAAGGGTCTGAATACTTATGCCAAAGTGATATTTCAGTTTTTCCTTTTTCATACATTTGCAAACATTTCTAAAATTCCCCCTCTCTTCTATTCTACAACATTTGTGCATACATTTCCCTAAGAGGTAGAATTTTGTATTTGACTTTATCAGCATATTTATATTTCTATATTATCTGCATGAGGTAAATAGTCTAAGCTTTCTTCTCCATTCCCAGCATTCAGCTGAAGAGGTCTTGATTTCCAAAGAGTAAGCAGACTCAAAAGAAATCAGAACTTTTCTTCTTTTTTTCTCTAGATAGAGCTGAGTGTTTCCAGTGCCAAGAAAACCATTATCCAAACAAAGATCATAATTCATGCATCCCCAAGAGTATAGACTTTTTGTCCTATGAAGAACATATAGGGATTGGTTTATTTCTTGTGATGCTTACATGTTCCTTGATAACAGCTCTGATCCTAGGAATATTTCTGAAGCACCACAACACCCCTATTGTCAAAGCCAACAACCGGAATCTCACATACATTCTCCTCATCTCCCTCTTGCTCTGCTTTCCTTGTGCGTTACTCTTCATCGGCAAACCTACTCAGGTGACCTGTCTTCTCCGGCAAACTACTTTTGCCATTACCTTCTCAGTGGCTGTTTCTTGTGTGTTGGCCAAAACCATGACTGTTGTTTTGGCTTTCATGGCCACCAATCCAGGATCAAGGATGAAAAAATGGGTAGGGAGAAAACTAACCACTTCCACTGTCCTTTGCTGTTCCCTTATTCAAGCAATTATTTGTGCTGCATGGCTGACAACCTCTCCCCCATTTCCTTCTGTTGATACACATTCAGTGCCTAATGAAATTCTCCTGCAGTGTAATGAGGGATCAGGTGGAATGTTTTACTATGTTTTTGGTTACTTGGGTTTCTTGGCATTGGCAAGTTTCACTGTGGCTTTCCTTGCCAGGAAGTTACCTGACAGTTTCAATGAAGCCAAGTTCATCACTTTCAGCATGTTGGTCTTTTGCAGTGTTTGGGTCTCCTTTGTTCCAACCTATCTGGGCACTAAAGGGAAATACATGGTGGCTGTGGAGATCTTTTCTATCTTAGCCTCTGGGGCTGGACTGCTGGGCTGTATCTTTTTCCCCAAATGTTATATTATGCTGCTAAGGCCTCAGCTAAATACACGGGAACAATTAACAAGGAGAAATCTCTAAAGAATGTAAATCCTACTGTAGTGGCCTTCTCAACTAACACGTGTTTTATCTGATTCTCCATGGCGTAGCTCTTTTCTGCTGATCTTCAAATGATCCTTTGTTTAAAAGTCCATTTGAAGAGTAAGAGGTGCTTGAACCCTTGCCTATCTCTGCTTTGAGGGCAAGATGCTGTGATATCATTCTTTATAAATGACATTTTGCAATTCCATTTTATGTTACAAATCGCCTTTTGCTTTCAAAACTGCTTTTTATTCAGTTCTGAAGACCTAAGCTACTGGGAAGCTGAAAACTTGTGTGGAGTTTGTTTGTGTGTTCTTAGCTGCCGATGGTAGATAATTATTTCACTGATAGCCCCAAGAATTATGCCAACAAAAAATGATTTATTAGTTGATTGGATTTGCTAATGCCACCCAATACCAAGGAGACTCTGGGAGGCAAACAATAAGTCTGAGACATAGATTCAAAACACCTTAAAACCACATAATTGGCTGGACCTAAACTTCACTCCCCTAGTATGCAAAAATGAACAGGGGCTCCACAACCAGCCCAACCCTAGGTCTCAGAAAAGAGCCAGGTCTTAACAGACTTCCAGAAACCAAGGAGAGTGGAAGCCATGCATATCTGGGGGGATCCTATGCCAGAGGGCAGAGGCTGTGAGAGAGAAGGCACACTTCCTCATCCCCATAAGATGGCATGTGTCCACTGTGCCTGAACACAGTGGACAGGCAGAAACAACTGGAGACACTCAAATAACTAGGTCAGATGCCATGAAAGGCTTTATAGGTAATGACTAGAACCTTGAATTGCACCATCTGAAGAGCCTCTTGATCTATGATAGGGTACAACTTGTGCAAAGGTCCTCCTGGCCATAGTTTCTACCTGTTCTTCAAGCCTTAGTTGCAACTATAGGAGGTCCCCCAACTTGCACACTAGTCTCAAGTGGGAAAATGCAACCTCACCCAGATCAAATATATCAATGTTCATGACCCCCACTGGGGGAGGGGGAGGAACTGTCAGTTTTCTCAAGATTGAGCCAAAGTCTCCTCTCACCCATCCAGACCTGGACAGCCTCCAGACCCTTGGTCAGTGTACTGACAGCATCACCTGTTTAGCCTGGGGCTGAGATGTACAGTTGGTTCTCATGCACATACTAATGTTACTAAACCCTGAACAGATGAATGATCTTACCCAGCAGTTTCATGTAGAAGAGGGCATCAAATCCTTAGGCACCCCACAAGTGAGAGCCATCAGCATGATCTCTCCCAACACTGACTGGAACTCTCCACTTCGTCAAATATCACAGAATCAAACTCTGTCCAGATATCACTTTAAGGCTATGTCCCAGGAAACATATCTGGACCTACCCAGTCAAAGTCCAACTCTGAGTGAATCTGAGCAACTTTATCTGCCAGTTAGCATGAATATTTTTCCCTGCAGCCCTGTAGATGATCCTGGGGCTGCTTGGAAAACAGCATAGGGATTGGTGCATAGAGAGACGCCAACAGGGTAATAATGCAATGTGACAAATGAATCTATCCTCAAAACTATACTCATCTAATATGCATACCTGCGTGACTTAAAAACTTGCTCTTCATTATTATTAGCTTTATGATTCAGTGTTAATAACTGACACCTTCTAATGCCAGGACTCTGGGAGCAGTAAAGATTTCTAGAGATACTTTTTAAATAATTATACCTACATTCCAAAAATGCTAGCATACCTAAAAGCATGCAGCTTAAAGAGCAATAGCCAGAAACCTCTTATATGAAACACGGGGTAGCCATATGATCTTCAGAAAGACTGGGCTGCTTTAAGGTGTTCCTGACAGTTGCAGTCCCATAGGAATCCAGATTGCTGCACAGTTCTAGGATTTTTGTTACTACTTTTGCTTTGTTATGCTCCCTCCCTTTGCACTATAGGTAGCCCTTGGCTAGTGACTGCAATTGGGACCAGCAACACCACCACTAAGCGATAAAGTCATTAAGCAAACCATCACATGACCATACTGGTCTTATGATATCAGTTAAATGAGTCACCTGCAGTCATTAAGCATGTCATCACATGACCATGACTTATGACTTACTACCAGCTTCCCCACTGACTTTGCTCATTGGAAGCCAGCTATGAAGTGCACAAATGTCAATTACATGATCATGGGATTCTGCAACAGTCATAAGTTTGAGGACTGGACATAAAGTTACTTTTTCAGCACCATCATAAATTTGAATAGTTGCTAAACAAGGCAGTCGTTAACCAAAGTCTGCCTGTACTTCAATCTACTATTGTAAGGAAATAGGTCTAGGCCAGGGATTGTGATCCCTAAGGGAAAATACAAGCTGGCAATACCTTCCATAGCAGTAGCTGTCCAGACAAGCAGCTGAATTTTACTTGAACACAGTCTATGGGAAAAATGATCTCTTCAGCACCCGAGGGCAATTGATACATAAGTGCACCACTTGTTGCTCTATAGGTGCCCATATCATAAATGCCACCCAATTATAATTGCCTTCCAAATTGGAAAATTAAATGTGTCAATAGGGAAAAGTTATTAAAAACATGAGAATTAAGATCAGTTACTTATGTACTTTATATGGCCACCCAATTTGCAGATTGGGAGCGTAGGCGGCTAATGTGGGATTAAAAACATGAAAAAGACAAGCTATAAACACAAAATCCATGAAACATACATCAAAGGTCAAATCCAATGTCTTCAATGACCGTAACAACTTACTGGACTGGCATACCCACTGTATTCAATTGCATTTGAATTAATTTCAATTGAACTTAAGTAAATTTTATTTTTTCCCCTAGATTCACTCTCTCCTGTTGAATAGTCTTTTATACCATTTTATCTTTAAGACCATTCAATGGCCAAGTATAGATTCCAGCATGGCAAAAATTTCCCTACCTCTGAATTATGGGGGACAAAGCTGGTTGCAAGATCAATATTTCTTTGCCTTTGAGGAGGAATGACCAAAAGGGTCAGCAGAAATAACTATAAACATATTGCTATCCTGAATATAATCTTCCAATATTCTGCTAAAGGCTGCATTTTCAGACATTTTAGGGAAAAATAGCTGAACTAAACAAAACAAGCAGAAAGAAGTCTAAACAAGAGAATATGAATTCCTGTATTACTTTGGAAGAAATCTATTAATGAAAACTATGGCTTCATTGAACAAATAGAGACTATAATAAGATGAGACACTGCCACCCCAAGTCCTGCTGTCATGCTTCATTGTAGCGGTGGTGGTGGTGGGTGCTCCTGCGAGGGGTAAGCAAAGAACACTAGGAGTGTGTGCCAGGGGTATATAATCCCAGCAGGGTCACCCAAGGTGTGCAGATCATCCCAGTTGCCAGCTAAAGCAAGCAAGTCCTTGCAGCTTTATAGAAAGAGCAATATCACAAAACATACATTCACAGCTAATTGCATGGTATTAATACTTTTTAAAAAGTGACTTTGTCCTTTCTGTAATTATCAAAATGACTGTGATTATGGTTACCTATGCTAAACGTCCTATTTGTCCAATAATTAATACTAAATTGTAGCAAGCCACAAATGGAATAAAGCTTCCTCTCAACCAGCATGATCCATAAGAACTCACTTCTGAGAACTCTCTTTAAGTTTTATATTCTGTAATTTAAACATAGAGATAGATAAAAATAGATCAATAGAGATAGAGGTAGAGATAGAGATACACGATGTTGCTGATTCTTGTTTTACAGTTGATATTGCTATGTCTGGTAGAATGCCAGACTCATATTCTGAAATGCTCAGTTGGAATTCCATTGCCTATTTTTCACAAATTTTGCCAGCCCGGTGATCTCAGCATTGGTGGTATTATTTCTCAAAGCTATATGCCTTTTGAACTGAGTAGCTTCAGTGAGCACCCCCATAAGTCATTGATTGGTGAGAGCATGTAAGAATTAATTGTTTTTCTGTTGTCCATATAGTATGTCTATTTACATTATATTCTTACCTAAATCCTTAAGTTTAATATAAATATAGCAAGCTACAGTTTCATCATTCACATATTTAACCACTTCAGTCCCCTTTTTGTATCATGCTTCTAAACAGTTCCAGAGGTTAGGCTGGACTTTATATCCCTGGTTTTCTGAGAAAACTGCAAATCTAAAAGAGTCAAGATTAATGTCTATACATTGATTGCATGCTTAGCCTAAGGGCAGAATGATCAGTCTTCCCATCTGTTGCCTCTAGAAAATTTCTTTGTTAGATTGTATTGTATTTGGCAGTAGGAAAAGGGAAATTATGTCATTAATAAACAAAAGAATGGTTCACAAGAAGGTCCTTGAATGCTAGAATTTATCTTGTTAGATATTGAGATGACTTCCACCCCACACCATGACACATACACTAGGTTTATGAGAGGATTCTGAATTATTTCTAATACTTTTTCAAATTGTTAGATGTTCTCACTCTTACAGTTTTTACTCAATATGTATATTATTTTTGTGCTTTATCATCAAACATATTTAAGAGCACCCACTTATTTTGTAACTCAGTTTGAGATAAATTTTACATTATAAAATTCACAACATAGGTTTCTATCTATCTATCTATCTATCTATCTATCTATCTATCTATCTATCTATCTATCTATCTAATCTATTTATTTATTTTGGACTCAAATCTCAGTAATGTTTATTAAAAAAAAATAGGCTGTTTTTTTTTAAAGAAAAATTTGTTCAGAACAAGACCACAGTCTTTTGTATTCTCCTCCTTCCTTCCTCCCAGTGAAAAAATTCCCTTTTTGAAAGGGAACATGGATTTGAAAATAACATTCTAGCATTGTTTTTATTTTCAAACTTCAGAAGCAAGATAGACATTTGTATACCAAGGACAGATTGCGATAAATCTTAACTTTATCACTTAATTTTTAGCAATGGGGAAACAATGTAGCGTGGCTTGTATTTTTATAAAAAAGTCCAGATGTCATTTCCAGCATCAGTTTACAAACCATTTCATGTACATATTGTT